CCCCCCCCCTCCCTTGTCGATAAGAACTTCAAGAGATACGTACAATTATACTCTTCTCAATCCGAACGATATCTGCGTGTCTGTTCTGAATGTCTTCAAGTGCCCGTCGTGCCTCCGCTCTCCGTGCACTATGCATAATCTATTCGCATCGTTGAATGCAGTGTGAAAAACCGTTGAGAAATAGTGATGGCGGGAGAACGCGTTTGGCAATGTGAAGTGTACGACTCAACGACAGAAATCAATCATAGAAACTCCGGAAGTCTGACACCGCTTTGATTTGTACCTCTTGTGCAAACACGGGCCCCTCACTCGTATCCATCATCTTCTGGATATCCTCGTCATTGGCATTCGGATTCACTGCAAGACAGCCCCAAAAGAATTTCAGTTATGTAATCCAGAACGCATTTTCCTCCGCATGCGCGCAAACAACCAGCATAGAACAGTTCTGAGGGATAACATACCAATCAGATACTGCCTTTGCATCCGCGCCTTATACTTTTCCTGGTACTTTTTCTGGATTTCCTTATACTCCATCATCACGTCCAGGAATTTCTTGGCGACTGTACCATGCTGTTCAAAGGACGTTCAAAAAAAAGACCGGGGCCGGTAAGCCATGAAGCTTATATGCTGCGATTCCAGTTCCTCCACGTCTCACTTTTTTTTCCTCAGTACGGATTGACTGCAAATAGGAAACCAACCTGACTTATTCTGATCCGAACGTCACTGGACCCAGGGTGCTCCTTTTGCAGGCGCTTGTTTTCAGCATCCATGGCTGAGGTTTGATTTAAATATGCGGTTTATTTTCATGCATGTTGAGAGGAGAGTGTGGGACATTTACGGTGGTGAGTGCAACGAAATACGCGAATCCACGCCAAACATACAAGGGCATTCGTACCTTTGAGCCTGTTCCGGATATCAGCAGACTGCTTATTTGTCCGATCCATTACCCGCTCCATCTCTCTCGCGTTTTCTGTTTGAAAAAGGTCGTAATCAGAGTCAGATCCTCAATTACGAATCCAAAGAGTCGCGACTTTCCAACCTACCTTGCGACTGCTCTTCGCTGATGATCGTCAGCGCCTGTTGGTGCAACTGCTCAATTTGGTCGATTGATTGCTTGACGGATGCGATCATGTCTCGGATGGCACCGATCTATCGCAGATGAAAACAAAACAATCATTCGAAGATGAGGTTACGAAAGTAGAACGAAATCTGGCAGACATTCCCCGACGGTTCTTTTCCCCTTTTATCGGCACCAATCCCAGAACATTTGGATGTTTGCCTGGAAGACCCACCTGATCGAAAAACCCATTCATGATTTCTCCCGCATCTCCAGCCTCCAACTCCTTCGGTGACTTTTCCTTCTTCCTTTTTTCCTTCTCCTTCTCCTTCTCCTTCTTCTCTTTCTCCCGCTCCTTCTCCCTTTCACGTTCTCGCTCCCGCTCCTTTTCCTTTTCCTTTTCTTTATCTTTGTCTTTTTGGTTCTTCTTGGTAGCCTCTTCGTAGGGGGGAGGTGCCGGGTCGTTCCCCGGACTCTGCGAGTGAGGGGTGATATCCCGTTTTCATTGCGAGTTCAAGAATTGACAGTAAGGCGCGGCGTGTAATGCGTGTGAGGAAGACGATTTATATGATTGTGCGTCGAGTGAAAGAGAAAATTGCGTTAGAGAGACAGACAAGTTAAGGCGATGAGCAACAAGTTTGAAGAAGTTGCGCGAGGAACGGTCGTAAAATCTAAGACTGACGCGCAATTGATTTCCGTGCAGCTTGCGGTACTCACCTTCAAATCTCCAAGGCGATCCCTCATTTTTAGACGGAATTTTACGTGTAGAACTGTGTAAAATCACAATGTCCAGCAGGTACACAATGTATTCGATTGTCGATTGATTCGGAAAGCGCTCTGTATGAGTCTCGAGATAAAATATGATCGCGTGCTTTTTGTGCTTTTCGTGTATATGTGGTTGTGTGTGAAAAAAAACAAAAAATGTGCCATGTTTATCTGTTTCCTGTTTGGTTAGCTCCCAATCATTATTCACAAGCTGAACCCTAAAGCTGTACATATGCATGATTCAGTCAAAGTAAGGTGACCTGTAATTGAGATGATTGCAGGGGAAGCGAGGCATATGACAGTAAACTTGGGTCGCGTTACAAACTGAATTTTTTTCATGTCTTTGATTCTATATGTAAACTGTATCGGGTTTTCTTCGTGGGGAGATGGCCGAGTCGGTCTAAGGCGCCACGTTAAGGCCGTGGTCTCTTCGGAGGCGTGGGTTCGAATCCC